CTCAAGTGTGTCGTGGCATTCGTGAAATTTTGGTACAATGGGTTGATTTGTCAGCAGAAGAGGCATCTTGGGTTTGTCAGTACAATGGGTTGAATTTCGCCGAGTGTATCCATCATTTCAGCTCGAGGACGAGCTGCTTCACAAGGAGGGGAGAGATGTCATGTGGGGGGACATTCCGTATCATCGACGATCTCGGCAGCAGGCGCACATTGTCGAAGGAGAGACTTATTGAATCTTTTCGGTTTTGGTTTGTTAGAGATAAACCTTTTACTTTGTTAGCAGTTTGTTTGGATAAGAGTTAGAGTTATTTAAAGAGATGAAATAGTTATGGAGGAATTAAGGAAGAGTTAAATCAATCTCTAATCTCTTATATCTGTTTTCTCCCTCAATTCTCTTCTTCCTCCTTGTGTGCCATCTTTCTCTAATGCACGTTTCTTTCTTTCTTCTATACCAGTTCATCACCATACCTCGCCAACTATGCCAGCGGAGGCCGCGGCCTCCTTCGTTCCATCCGTATAATCTTCGGCCGTTGCCCGGGCGTGACAGTGTCGCATGGGATGTTCAGGCACTAATAAAAAACTAATTACAGAGAGACGAATTTACTAAGCCTAATTAATCCGTCATTAGTAAATATTTACTGTAGCACCACATTGTCAAATCATGGAGCAATAGATTCATCTCGCAAATTTGTCGCATCTGTGCAATTAGTTATTTTTTAAGCCTATATTTAATACTTCATGCAGGTATTCAAACGTTCGATGTGACAGGGTGTAAAATTTTGGGGTGGGATCTAAACGGACCTTAAACAAGCCATCAGTATGGCATTGACTGACTCGAGTCTCACCTGACCATGACGTTAGGAGAAAAACGCTATGGCGTTGACTGACCTCGAGTCTCATCCGAGAGTGACATTAGAAGAAAAACGCGCTATGGCATTGACTGACTTCGAGTCTCATCTGACAGCGACATTAGGCCCTTGATTAGTTCCAAACTTTTTATTCAAACTTTCAACTTTTCCATCACATCAAAACTTTCTTACACACATAAATTTACAACTTTTCCGTCACATCGTTCCAATTTCAACCAAACTTTCAATTTTGATGTGAACTAACGCTATGGCATTGACTGACTTCGAGTCTCATCTGACAGTGATGCTAGGGGAAAAAAACGCTTGGGAAGTATATATGCCTGTGATTTGTAAAGACGAAAGCTTGGGAAGTATGCCTGTGAAACGTAGTATAACATTATGGGGATTGAAACAATTGTCCAGCCGTCGGTATGCCTTTTATAGCCTACAACGGAGGGATGAGAATGTATTGTATTGTCTAAACAGATTTACTATAGTAATGTTGTATACATTTTAGTTCCTCCGTGCTGAAATGTAAGTTTTTTTCAGATTGGCATAGATATTAAGAAAGTAGGTAGCAATTTGAAGGAATTGTGTGATTAATTTAGAAGTGAAAGTTGATGAAAGAAAATGGTTGTGATCGGTGAGAAAAGGAGATTGGTGGAGAAATGGCTCTATTATGGGACAATGTACTGTCCTAGCAATAACTACATTTTGAGATGGAGATATTAGCTAATATATATGTGGCTTAGCACTCCCTGTTTATTCTTTACAAAGAAGTGGTGGTAGATTTATCACTCATTTATTTAAAGTAGTACATATGTATGAATAGATTAATGGGTATATGCTTTCTAACGGTGTGTTTTCCTAAAAAAATTACATAACTTTTTTAAAAATATTGTTATAAATCAATTCTTCAACTTTATGTTAGTTAATTCATTCATTTGTATTCGGAATATTTATCACAAATCTATTTTGTCATTCAACATAAAACAAAAGCGGTGAAGGTTGCGCTTTACCATGCACCGCTATTTAGAGGTATGCAAATGTTATAAGAAAAGGTTAAAATAAATTCCTTTCTTTAAAGGTGACAATATACCTCTTGCAAAAATTCAGTAACTCAAAATTCAATCAGCATATGACAGACAGAACACAAATATTTATAGGTGACAGCATACCTTGCATTATGGAAACAAATACTAAAAACGATTATGATAATTAAAATGGCCGCCTAGGGATTTTATGGATATTAAACAAATGCTTTCAGTTAATGGTAAAGTACATATAAGATGTATTTACAACATAATATCAATATATCTAAAATATATGAAAAATGTTTCTAATATAAAAGTGATCTAGGCTTTTTTTTAAAATGTCTTGAAAATGCTTGTACATGTTAATTGTCCCTCCCTATTTTAGAGACGATTTGCAGGTTTCTTATTGAAAAAAAGTAACTCGGTATGGTTTTTTATTACCGTTAAGCGTACAGGCTCTCCTTTGCATCAGGGAAATTATATGTAGTTCAAACTCCATATACAATGTAAACTGAGAAACTTCCGTAGACATCACCATGAGTAAAACTTATACTCCCAATCCAGGTTTGCATTACGTAGAGTTTTGCACTGCATATTTTCCCTGCATCTTAAAGTAGCCCTCTAATAATGTAATTTGACGTTCGTAATTCAGTCCTCGTCAATCTGAGCACAATTAATTATTTAATTTCTCCATGTTAATAATACTTATTATTTTGGACAAGTCTGATGTCAATAAAATTATATATTTGTTGATATTTTTATATATATTATAATAGAAAATAGTGATTGAAACATGTGTTTAAGACTGTATCCTTATTATTATCAACCGAAGTAGCTTGGTTTCACTTTTAGCCACACGGATGACATCTGGCTAAAGTTTGAGTGACACTGTATGAATTAAAGTGCTAAAGCTGCATATGTGTTCTGGGGAAAAAAATATCAGGAGAGGCCTACTTTATACGTTCATTCACCGACAAGCTTACTCTCATTTTGCTTATTCTTTTATAATCTATTCATGCATCTGTTCACATACTCGTATGTACACAACACCTTCAAATTGCACACTAGCACATGTTTCAATATTTAGTAGTCACTGGTATCGCGCAAAATGCTAGACAACAGACCAATAGCGACATACACACTGCTCCCTGCATCGTAAAATATAAGACGACCTTGTTTTAAGAAGAATCAACGACACTTGAAATTTTGAGTAAATATTAAGCTAACAACATATGTTTTTAGTATCATATAAGCAACATTTTCATAACAAAATTTGTTATTTGTTGTAGGACATGCTGATTTTACGGTTTTAGCTCTAAAATATTATATAAATGAATATTTAGGAAAACACAGTTTCAAAGTGTGACTCTCTATTCATAGACATTGTATCCATCTTTTATCATATTTCGTCTATTGAGGAAAGAGGGAATATCTATGAAATGATTGTTTTGCCTCTCCTCGTTACAAAGTACGCCATCCGTCCCATAATATAAGGGATTTTAACTTTTTACGTATACTGTTTGACCATTCGTCTTATTCAGAAATTTTGAAATTATTATTTATTTTATTTATGTCATACTTTATTATACAAAGTATTTTAAGCACAACTTTACGTTTTTATATTTGCATAAGTTTTATTAAATAAGACGAGTGGTCAAATAGTTAAATAAAAAGTTAAAATCCTTTATATTATGGAACCGAGAGAGTACTTGTTTTGCTTCTAGATAAGGCCATATCACCCGATGTCCACAGAGACGCTCACGACCCCTCAAATTTCGCGTACGACATGTACATATGATACGGGCCAAAAAAACAAAGAAAGATAATTGCAGCTCACACATGCATGGCGTTATCCAGTATCCACGCGTCTAGCATGTATGAGCTGTGCCGACAATAGTACCGTACTACCATCGTCTACATGAAATCAGTAAAAAAAATGCAATTTTCTGAGCCAGTAATTTCGAGATAAATTACCGATTTTATCTTTTGTTGGAGCAATGTGAAGTAGTAGTAACTTAGTTGACGTGGACAATTATATAGGGTCTGTTTGAGGAGCTTAAGATTGCGAGAAACAGTTGGTTGCGGTAGCCAGCTTCTAACAATCTAAAAAAGCTAAGTTTTCCAGCTTCTGGCCTCTAGTTTATTTTCTGAAATTTACAACTACAGCTTATCAGAATCTAGACCAGAAGCTGAATTATTCGAGGGAATTTCTGATTCTAGCTGGAAAAAGCTGCGGCCGCTTAAAAACTCCCCCAAAATAGGTCCATAATATCATTAGCAACGTAGAAGCGAGGAAGCGAGGATCGCCCTCCTAGTGAACTAGAGAAACATGAACCGAGCAGTGCAAAAGATTAAGCCTCCTCTGTCTCTCAAGTCTCAACAGAGAGAATATTATAAAAAAAATATGTGTGGGACCAACCAGCAAAGAGTCACACTTTGGAGGTGTGTTCCTGAAATTTCACTTCTATTATATCCCAAAATTAAAACCATAAAATCAGGATGTCTTACAATAATTTTGTATATTTTTATATGATATTAATCTTGTGCTTGGATATAATATTTTGTGAAAGAAATCACTAGCTAGGCAAATGATAATGTTGGTCTGAAACCATGAAAAAGCTAATACGCATTTCGCCGTGTTTAGTTCCAAAGTTTTTCTTCAAACTTCCAACTTTTCCATCACATCAAAATTTTCCTACACGCACAAACTTCCAATTTTTCCGTCACATCGTTCCAATTTCAACCAAACTTCTAATTTTGGTGTGAACTAAACACAGCCTTTATAACCGATAGAGTTAGATAGGACGATGCGAGAATGTTCACACCATTTAACCAGCCAATACTTTATATTACCACAAAGCTGCTGTACCGACAACTACAGGTCCACGCGACCACAAAGCAGGAAAATTATTCAAATCACATATGTGATGGAAACCTAAAAACAACCGTTGAATATAAAAATGGACGTTTGAAATTTATCCGCGTAATCAAGAGTAAAAACTTTTACTATTTCTAAATTCAACGATTATTTTCAGGTTTTCACTATATATTTTATTTGTAGTAAATATTTTCCTCCCATAAAGAGGGCATACATCCAACATATTAGGAAGATCCAGGATTATACCTCAACCTACTAGGAAAGTTCCTATTATATGCAGAAGATAGATATATATACTGACGAGCTAGAGCTTCGGAGTTAATTTCAAGGCCACAGGCGTAAGCTAACTGGGTGTTATAGGCTGGACGACGATGGCTGCCGTCGTCGTTGATGTGCTACTGGCATGTCTAGCGCTGCTCCTACCAGCTTCGTCATGTGCAGCTGGGGCACCAACGGTGGCAGCTGCACAGACCAGCGCTGGCGCCGGAGGTGGCTATGGCGCTGGCTGTGCCAAGAGCTGCGGTGACCTGACCTTCGATTACCCTTTCGGCATCGGCGCCGGCTGCGCCCGGGGCCATGACTTCCAGCTCGTTTGCAACACCACCACGCAGCCCCCAACGCTCTTCCTCAGCGATGGCTTTACCCAAGTCATCAACAGCATCGGGGCCGCCGGCTATGGTACGTATGTACGTACGTACTATGTTTCTATTGTGTGCCACTGTGCGTAGCTCTATGTGGGGGTTGTGGGGTTGGGGGGTAAGTGTGGTCGTCTATGTGTGTCAAAAGAAGTTTATGATAATCAATTAGAGTGGTGGGAGGAATTATCTGCTCTGCGTTAGTTCGTGGGGTGGTTCAAGAGAAAGCACATCGTTTTCCGCGCGTATGCTTCCTGTTTTTTTTAAAAAAAAATTTCTATAGGAAAGTTACTTTTAAAAATTATGTTAATCTATTTTTGAAATTTAAAATAGTTAGTACTCAATTAATCATGTGGTAATGGTTTCATGTAGATAGATGTGTGACACACACAGGCAATATTTTACACAAGTTTTTTTTTTTTTACCTTAGTCTTCCCTAACTAAATTGCGTGTAGGCGATCTCCAAACCCCTTCACAATCCCCTCCTAGGGTTGTCTTATCTTGATCCCTACAACCGTCTCCGAGAGACCACTGGCATAAAGCTCTTCTATAAGCTTGGTGGCAACCACTAGGAGCAACAAGCTGGTCACACTTGCTTAAGAATGTTCAAGTGACACAGTAGCTGGCTCGTTAAGATAATCAGCACAAACGAGCCGAGATGGCTCGTTATCCATCCCAATATGCCTTTGGCGTATGTAAGCCACAGCCATAAAATAACTTTCAATCAGAACTAAATTGGTTTTCTTATCATCATTATGTCTTAGTCATCTAACTTGTTTTTTTTTTATAATAAGCAGTCTATGTGAACTTTTCACTTGACATCCCTATGAGATCTGGTGTCGATCTGTACAATGTGTCATGGACGGTACCTGGCGATTCTTTCTCCGTACGTGACAGTGCAAGGGTAACCATCGGACATGGCAACTTTGATGTATACTTGCTCGATGCCTACAGTTCGAAGAGGATAATCTTGTGTTCGCTTACCCAGCCTACCAATATTGATGACACCAGTGACGAGGGTGAGTGCCAACGGAATATTCCCATCGTCCGTGGTTTTCAACTCCAGTTTGTCCATCGGCATGAACACGGCGAAGGCCAGCGAACCAGTGTCGACAGCGTCAGAATCGAGAACGACGGCGTGCGACTTGGGTGGGCCATTGTGGATCATTCGACGTGCGCTGAAGCCAAGCGTGACAAGAGCAGCTATGCCTGTGCCAGCAAGCACAGCCGGTGCGATGATAACTTGAGCTTTACAGCTTCCCGTGCTGGTTACTTATGCAAGTGCACCGATGGGTATCAAGGGAACCCGTATGCACCCAATGGCTGCCGGCGTGATGTAGGTATATGCATGCTTATAATTTTTTACACCTCTATCTATATCTATGTCTCTCAAAAATCTTCTAAGGAAAATAATGTTTCTATTGATTTATGAAAAATATATATATTCTGTATATGTCTGTAGAGTAATTTTATAGTCCTTGAGAGATAAAAAAAAGTACTAATTTTTTAGTATAAATTTGTTGTCTTCTAGTACAAAAGGCATCGAGAGTTATTAAATTTTACGTTGGGAAATACGGTAACTCTCGCGGTAACTTTTCGAGAACAGTAAAATCCCTCATATCTATAATACCAACATTTTGTAAAAGTATTTTGAAATTGAAATATGTTGGTATAAACATGAATTTATACACTAAATGTTTTTGTAATTTGACTGCCTGTTGGTCAAGATTTATAAAATCTGACCTTTCGAAATCAAAGTACGTAGGTCTTACGAAAATATACGGTGGGAACGATAAATTAACATATATATGTTAATGTTCAAAGCATCAATAGTATATGTACAGTACGTAATTAGCATCAATTTTAAATTATTGCTGTTGACATATCATGGTTTTCTCAATGCAGGATTGCCGGACGCAAGATATGATCGGTTTCCGAGTAAGAACAATTGTAGCCCGTCATGTGGAAATATCAGCGTTCCATATCCATTTGGCCTAGAAAAAGGCTGCTCTGCAAATCAGCATTTCCTGCTCAGATGCACCTACTACAAAGACAACAAGAGTACAAACCCTGACCTCTTGTGGTGGGCAACAAGATACACCGACGAGCCGTCAACACCGACCAAGCTTGTTCGCATAGATATCAGCGAAGGGCTCATTATCTTGGCCGGTGAGCACTACGAGGAGTTCCTTGCCATGGATGGTACGGCTAGTGCTAGAGTCTCCGATGGTTCAGCAAAGGACTTTGTGGTTAAGAATCTGCATTTTGCCATCACAAACCAAACCTGCAAAGAGGCGCAGCAGAATACCACCGGATATGCATGTGTCAGCGTTAACAGTACGTGTTTGGCCGTCAACACAGGTGATGGGTATATTGGTTATAGGTGCAAGTGCAAGCATGGCTTTGAAGGGAATCCGTCTATCAAAGATGGTTGCCAAGGTTTGTCTCTGTCCCTTTTCACAAGCACAGTTAGCATTGCTTCACAATTTAACGCACTTGGACACAGCCAACATATATATTGGTACTCTCTCCGTCGCATAAAAATTACATTTCTAGCTAATTTAGGACAAATCAGTAGGATTAGAAAATAACCACGATGACCTTATTTAATGAATCCATTGCATGCACACATTCGATATATACAAATGATTAAAAGGAAGTTTAAGATAATTAACCCATATAATTAGCATAATTAAATTACAAGTTAAGAGAACTTAAGGAAACTTATCTAGATGAATCAATTTGTTGGACCCCACATGTCTAGAAATACAATTTTTATGGAACAAAACCTTACAGCTAGAAATACAATTTTTTTGGGACGGAGGTAGTATATTGTTATACTCTCCCCTTATTACAAATATATTTTCTCTCTTGTCTTAGACTGCTAAAATCCCTCACGTCTTAATTACTGCAACATGTACGTGGTTGCCGATGTTGACGAATGCTCCACTGCACCAGGCATCTGTCCAGAAATATGCAATAATACTGTCGGTAACTACACTTGCATCAAGTGCCCTGCTAAATCAGAGTACAATGACAAAACAAAGCGGTGCACTTCAGTGAAAAAGCAAAAAAATCTTCTTTTTGGTGAGTTATGTACTCCATTCAATTTCACCATGCAGAAAAAGAAAATTAAAAAAAAAGTAAATAATGTACTAGCAAAGCATGCATAACCATCGGCTGCCTCATTATTTAGGTATCGTCATTGGACTTAGTGCTGGCTTTGGAATTCTACTGCCTGGCTTAAGCGCAAAAATGCTCTTCCATAAATGGAAGAAAGGTATCCAGAAGCGGCTACGTAGGAAGAATTTTCGTAAGAACGAAGGACTTCTCCTAGAACAACTAATATCGTGTGATGAAACCACTACTGATAGAATGAGTATCTTCACTTTAGAAGAGCTAGAAAAACAACTTTGATCACACAAGAATACTTGGCCAAGGAGGACACGGTACAGTTTACAAAGGCATCTTATCAGACCAACGTGTCGTGGCCATTAAAAAGTCTATGACGATCAAACAAGGTGAGATCACTCACTTCATAAATGAAGTCGCTATTCTTTTACGGATCAACCATCGGAATATCGTTAAACTTTTTGGGTGTTGTCTTGAAACTGAGGTCCCACTATTGGTGTATGATTTTATTTCCAACGGATCATTATTTGAACTCTTGCGTTACAATTCGAGTAATGGTAGCTTGCTGTCTTGGGAAGACACCTTAAGGATTGCTACAGAAGTTGCTGGAGCCCTCTATTATCTCCACTCTGCAGCTTCAGTATCAGTTTTTCATCGTGATGTGAAGTCCTCTAATATACTGTTAGATGCAAATTACACTACCAAAGTTTCAGATTTTGGTACGTCAAGATTGGTTTCTATCGATCAAACCCATATTGTCACAAAGGTGCAAGGCCCATTTGGTTATTTAGATCCAGAGTATTGTCAAACTGAGTGTCTAAACGAAAAAAGCGATGTGTATAGTTTTGGTGTGGTACTATTGGAGCTACTTCTCATGAAAGAGCCGATTTTTACAAGTGAGAATGGCTTAAAGTTGAATTTGGCCGGTTATTTTCTTGAGGAGGTGAAGGTAAGGCCATTAAGTGAGATTGTTACCACTAAGATATACGAAGAAGCAACAGAGGAAGAGATTAACAATGTTACCTTGCTTGCGGAGATGTGCTTGAGTCCCCGAGGCGAAGAAAGACCTACCATGAAGCAAGTAGAGATGACATTACAGTCCTTGCGCAATGTTACACAGACAACGGCTGTTCACCGTGCTAATGCATCGGATCAGCTGAGCCAAAGATGCTATAGCCTAGAGCATGAGTTCATTGCTTCAGCTGAGCTACCACGCTAAATGATTTGATTAGACTTTCCAATAATGTTCCTCATTTCACAATCTATGTAGTAATGCATTATTTCTGGGTTATGTCTGTAGTAATGATCTCGAACTCGTTTCTTGGAAGTTTAGATTCATGTGATCGTGACATTATTTCAATGTTCGCCTAAACAACCGCCTAGCCCGTCTAGACGGTGATTAATCGCTAGTCAGCGACAATTTGTCCAGTTTACACCCTAGGCAGTGAATTAGTCGATTTACCGCCTAGACGGTCCTAGTCGGTCCTAGACGGCCTAGACGGCCTAGACAGGACGGTGCCTGGGCGCAATTAGACAACGGGACAGTGCGTCTAGGCGGCGACTAGGTGATAGAAATCAAAATTTGGGCATGATAAAATTTAGAAGCACCACGTGGGACCGACTCGGTATAGAAAGGGATTTAGGTTGCCTTATTTGAGAGCATGGAGAGAGAGCGCAATCCCTGCCTACCTCTTTTTCACACCGACACGAGCGACGACTTCGTTGCCGCACCCATCGATCTTCCATCGTGCCGCTACGTTCTTACCTCTCCTCCTCTGCTGCTCCACGTTCATCCCCCTCCTCTGCTGCTCCTGCTCTCCCTCTCATCCTTCATCCTTGCTGTCAATGGAAGGTGGCAAACACGCCGATTGAAGCAGTCAAGCATGAAACCACCCAAGCAGCCTACGCCAACCCTAAATCAGGCCATCAGGGGATCAGGCTCCCCTCCACCACCTCACCTCCTCTGTTCTTCCAGTTCCAGATAAATTTTTCTTCCTCTCTCCTAGCTCCAGCCCCTCAGATCTATAAAGTTATGATTTATGAATTATGATGTACATGTACAGTAGCTATACTGATGTGTTCGCTATCCCTATAGATTTGTACTAAACCCAATGCTTCATGTGCAGTGTCAGTGCGTTGTATGGACTTGATGATTTCTGAACTTAACTATGATTTATGCTATTTGCCTAAATGCCTATATTTACCGAGTACCGAATGTCTAGAATAAGTATTTTTGTGTGAAAGAAATAGAAAAAACGTCTAATTCGCCTAATTTGCCTAATCCGTCTAGTCGCCGCCTAATCAGCCTAGTCGCTAGTCAGTAGGTGGCCGTCCGACTAGCGTTTAGCGACTAGATGAACACTGCATTATTTCAATATTGAGATCTTGTACTTTTATTACTATTATTCGCTTTGCAACATATTTTCCTCGTGTGTGATGGCAAACATGATTTGTGTAGTAATAGAAGAAAAGACCATTCTAACATACCTTCTACCACTCCACAAAGCCTAGTGTTCCATCCAGCTTCGTTACAATTGTATTCAACTACCAGGCCAGCTAACTGACCTAGCTTGCTAGATTTCAACTTTTCTCACAATTCTTCCTGTGTTTTTATATTATCTTGACCCGACACATTGGTTTCATGTTAGTGATGTGCTGCTATAAATGTAAAGTACTTCCGTAGGAATAATTACAACTGTTTGTTGAAATGCAACAGCAAACAAATCATCAAGAACATGTGCTTATATGTTTTTCTTTCTGATGTCTTTACCAGTTACAGAAAAAATAGACCATAGAATCGCTGCCATTCTTACATCACATACTGGAGGACAATATACGAAGTAACGAAGAGCAAGAGAAAACAGTAGCATTCCTAGCAGTAGGTTGTAAAGATCAGCGCTTAATTTGACATGTCATAGTACTTAGATCATATGAAAGAACAACCTCCGCATGCGTTTCTCTTATTTGGAAATAATTAAAGCTGAACAGGTTGGCTAAGCAAACATTATTTAGGTTTAAGCGACCCCCCAGCCTTGGCAAGCTCCTCCAGCTTACTGTCAATTTGTGCTTCTGTCAGGCCATCCAAGCGCACGCACCTCTCAACGCCCATATCTGACCAGTAGACAGGCAGAATTTACAATCAGGGGGAAGCATAAATAAGCATTCTACATGGCAGCAGATAATTCTCTAAGGCTTATCACTTTAGGTCATTTAAAAGTACTTAATTTAAACTTGAGTAATTGGCTGTTAAGAAGTATACAAACCAAAAGAAAATCAGGTGCAATAAGTACCAAAGATATATACAGAAATTATGTCACAGTAACATGCCATGAACACCTCAAGACTTCAACCCGAGTGTTTTTTCTTCCAATTCTTAATAATAGATGAATGCCCATACAAAGTAGCATACCTCAAAATATACAAGTTATAACTTAGAAAAGCAATGTGCACTATTAATAATATATAAATATGAAAAGGCACAATCCTATACATAAGATTCATAGATAACATAATCCTATATATAAGATTCAAAGATAACATACAATATACATAGTCATCAGTCATGCACAAATCCATCCAGAAAAGATTTCTTACATAGAAACAGATCATTGCTCGAATCCAGAGGGTAGCCTAGCCTGCTTCCATTTAGTGACATGTACAGGTTGTTTTAATTAGACAAATTCTGGGCCTGCCACAGTATTCCAATCAAGGTTCTAAAAGGATGATAAGTGTGGACGCATCGGATTTTCTCCCCAACAAATTTCTCAGTTCCCATTTGTACAAATAAAATATCAAAATATTCGCACAGGTTGTATTTATATTGCAGGACGTAGCATACACTAGACATATTTGAGGTGTCCCTTGCTCTAAGCTTCTAACAATTGACATAGAGTAAATTGCTACAAATTTATGAAGATAAATTAGACCAATATATAGTGCTCCCACTGTCCCACAATGGAAGTCATCCTAGGAAGCATGCAAACAATTAATACTTGCAAATCATATCAATTGACTATGAGAAAACTAGTATTATTTATTTTTTCAGGCAACATACATTAGTTATTCATTATATTTTATTTTTATATTATTATTATTAGAATCAATACTCAAAGTCTTGCTTTTGAGACTGTAAAGGCACAAACAACTTACATTTTTGGGTGTATGGAGTATTTGAGTATTAGTCGATTAAATTACAAGTTTAGACGCTACAACTTTTTGGACCATTATGTGCTTGGGAAAAGTAACTCAAATCTTAATTTTATAATCAACATATGAAGTTATAAATGATGAGGCAAACTATCCTATATCGCTTGGCCCCTAACTAATATAATACCAAGCACAATGAGCTACAACAATAAGCAACGTGAATGGCAATTTGTTATTCCTCTATTTGCTACCGAAAAGTCAACTCTGTTGGAATCAAATCTTCAAACACATTATATTGTATCAAGGTCACTGTAACCATAATGGAGTATGGGTAGTAATGATGTAGTAGTAGGGTGACAGCTAATATGGTGCAACATGAAATTCACTACATCAGTGCAAAAATGAAATCGGCCACTGTCATTATGCAATGTAAACAGTATGAGCCAAAGTTTTGATCCACTGGCACTCAAGAATAATAAGAAAAATGAGGCTTGCACAGCAATTGAGCCAGTGGAATACTTGGAAACAATGAACCTCTGAAAAGCGTGAAAAAACATGCATAAGCACTTAGGAGATCAACAACACATGAATTATGCGCATGGATTACATACAAGAAAGTCTCATCAATAGTATCGCTCAGTCACTTCACAGTGAACTTGTAACTTTTTGTTTCATACATTTTCGTTTTATGTATGTAAACTCAAATGAACGGCCTATCTACATACTATAAAGTGGCTATGAAAATTTGCCAATAAGAGAAGATGATGATCTTTGTGCAGAAAGACAGAGAAATCAGCTTAGCACTGGAGCCCCACGGCAAAACAATAAAGGAGCAATAAGAAGCAAGAGTTGAAACAAGTATTAACTACCTAGTTTTAACACCCATTAACCTCGGAAAATACCAGCTTTTTTGCAACTTATAGGTGACTAGGACCTGTTACAAGTACTTGGATGATTATATCTGGTTTTTACAAATTGATCAATAACACTCCATATTATAGTTGTCATCACCAAATTAAATATTGTTTTATATTTCTATCAGAATAGAGTCCATATGTATATATTTGAGTATATACTTGGGATGTTTCTATGTTTAAAAACATTGCGGCCTTACTAACCAGGTTCCGCTTCAGCAAACTATTAATTACATTCTAGTCACTTGTGTGTTTAGTCAGCAAGTGTGGTGTTTGGTTCTCCAACGGCTTGGCTACTCTAACTTTCCAAGCCAGGGCACTACTAGGTTCGCCAGTTGGTGGTCAAGGACAATAAGGGGATTGCCTGCTAGTGAGAAGAAGGGGCTCAACTCCTTTATTATCTTGGTCGCTTGGGAGATTTGGAAGCATAGAAACAACTGTGTTTTTAATGGCACTACCCCAAGCATGGCTGATGTCCTTCAAGCCATTGCAAGTGAGGGCGCCCTTTGGTGCCTACCAGGAGCTTCTAAGCTTCGTGATCTTTTGTCTAGGGCTGTCGTACTAGTGCACTAGGTTCGTTTTGCTTCTTGTGGGTGTGTTTTGTTGGTGTTGTACTTCCGGGTGGGTGGGTGTCGGAGTTTATCTCTAACGCCATCCACCTTTTTTCCTCTATCTCAATGAAATGATACGCAGATCTCCTGCGTGTTCTAAAAAAAAGTGTGGCTTTGACAAGCCATGATACTTCCTTGTACAATGGACAGTTACGACCAATCAGATTTCCCTAGGATGATTGCACCATTGAGTATACGTAACAGGAAGGGTGATGGTGTTGATAGTACTGTCGAGTAAACTGATGATCAAGTTCATAAGAAATGGTTACAGTAAATGTTATTGACAGTGTTCCAAAAGTTGGCTCTAGGTACCCAGTTGCCAACCTGATTAGGCATTAGATGGTTCATTAGGCAGCTAAGTACCCCTGGGGGCTCTTGTGCTGCTATTTTAGTACTCCACTGTTCAAGTTTTATGTAATATGCTCACCAATTGCTTGGAATTTACTTGTGACGTTCGGGCTAGGCATCCCTAGGCGGTAAGCGCCAGCCCACTAGTGCCTAGCACCTTATTGAACCATGGTTATTGATTAATCGAGTTAGGATAGGAGATCTTTGGTCAAGTTTTAACATAAGCTTATTGGCAATATTGTCCAGTTCCCTTGGAAATAAGAACGACCAGCTCTTAGGATTAGGAGAACAAGAAAATGCCTTTGGCCGTGGTTGGGTAAGATGGATGATAAGTTTATAATCCTAACCATCTTAGCGATCCCAATGCGTAAAAGGAAATTTATCCTCACAGAAAATATTTATTTTCTCCTTGTTTGCTAGGTTAGACTAGCTTTGGGCTATAAACTATAAGGCAACCTCCCTATCTTACCTCTCCTCACCTCCACCACCTGTAGGTGCCTACAACTGAGTGTTTCCTAGTTCCCTAGGTATTGTCACATTATGTTCAACCAATTCAACCTGCTCACATAGACAACTCCATATGGGTACTCTTCCATCTATCCCAATCTTTTATTTATATTCATCCAAACAAATGCCGGTGTTTAAGAGGGAACCTTAATATACCCAGAGTATCATCGTAATAATATTGGAAGAATCCATATGGACCATAAGTAAGATCCCAAGTCCCAACAAAGAGTTTGTGTGTGTGTGTGTGATTTTCAAAATAAAGCGAGCTTTGGGCTTTTAAGCCGTCAATCCTGTGAGCTGGTCTTAACCCAAAGTTGGCCAAACATCCCCTAAGCTTCTCTAGATTTTCTTCACAGTCATGTAGACTATTCAGTTTTTTTTTGTGTTTATGCCTTGAGTTAGAAGTTGTCACTATGTCTGTAATTTGTAGTAAGTTATACCAAATCCAGATCCAGTGCATGTAGTAGTTCATTTGAACATCTGCACGCACAATACCATTTGGCTGTCTGTGGCAGATCAAGCAGAATAGAAGTAACACTCACAATTGTCATGGAATGTTTTTCTTGTCTAAAAATACCAAGAACATATGAGAGAAACCATGTATCTTAGGTTTTTAATTAGTAGAACCCACAGGAAAGTGTGGACTTGAACAGATGATCTTACTATCACAACAATAACTCTACAGCTAGTCCACATTGTCGTCCCCTGTTTTTCTCCTTCTCCAAATCTTGGCCATTTTTTAACAACATTGTGTTAGCATTATATCATTGGACAAACCTAATGCTTCTCTATAAATATTTTTCCTTAAAGAAAGCATTCAGATCGCAATCAACCTAATGTGCCATTCCTTCTCAAGCATTCACACATTCTAGTATTTTACATAAGCAATGTAACCTATGATGCCCAACTCTAAAAGACAACACGATCCGGTATCCTAACCTAACATTTCACGCCGCAAAAGATATAAGAACAAAAAGTTCAAGAACCGGCTCAGAGGATCTCGGATTCCATGGAGAAGAGAGGAAAAAAAAAAAGAACGCGTACCGTAGCGCGCCCACAGCTGGGGCTCGACGCCGGAGCACTCGCGGATGAGGACGGGGAGGGACGGGTTGCGCGCCTTGATGTCGCCGTAGTTCTTCTTCACGAACTCCCTGCGAAAGGAAGGAATCGCCGCGGTTCTTCTTCAGATCGGGTCTAGGACCCTAGAGAGAGAAAGGGGAGACGGGGGAGCGGACGGTACCTCGCGGGGGCGCTGGCGGGGGAGGATTGGCAGAAGAGGAAGCGGATCTCCTTCACGCCCCGGGAGAGGTTCGCACGCCACGCCATGGCCGCCGCCGCCGCCGCTTCTTCTTCTTCTTCTTCCCTTCGCCTCTGCTTTGCTGTTGGCCTGTGGGGGGGGATTCGCGGGGGTGCGATGCGACCGACGGCGAGAGACGCGGCGGACAAGGGTTGGGGGAGGGTCTCGTTGGATTGGATCCACGCCGTCCGATCGCCAAGCGACGGTTGGGACTTGTGAGCTTGGTGTGGGACGATTGTGGGGTCATTAGGGTTTGGTCTGTAAGCAAACAGAGTATTTTCCTTTCACCATCTTAATTTATCGCCCGATTGTCCCATACAATTCATGGTGGTGTAAAGATATTTATCTGAAAAATGCTTCCGGACGGACGAACGTCGTCCTTATCCACACACACAGCTACATCTCCACCACACATTCCTTCTTTTCTCTCTCTTTAATTTCTTCTCTCTTGCTATTTCACCAGTGTTGGCCACACAACGGCAGCGACGGAGGGCAAGACGATATGAGAATCCATGGGAGCCAGCGCTCCGGCAGTTTCTGCTCTGCTCCCCCTTGACGGCAGTGCGCCAGGTGTGGCATACGCGGGCCATGCGGCGCCAATCGACGAGGCATGGGAGGCGTTCGTGGACGAGGCAGAGGACGACAGCGGTGAGGTCGCACCATGGCGCCGTCCATCGGAGAGGCGGAGGCACGGCTTACCGAAGTTGAAGAAGAAGATGGAGATGTCAGGGGATGGCAGCCGGAGCTGAAGAAGAAGATGTAGGTGTCGGGGGGTGGCGGCCGGAGTTGAAGAAGAAGAGGGCCGGCAACCGGAGTTGAAGAAGAAGTCGACGGAGGTGGGTTTCCTCGGGGGCCGACGACCGGAGTTGAAGAAGATGGAGGTAGCTAGGTTTGTTTTGTTGGAGTTTTAGGGATGTTGCATTCTACTGTTAAGCTTGTTGCACTCTGTTGTATTAAGGTGTTTCATTTTGTTTTGATTTGATGTTGCATTGCAATCTTTTGTATATGTTTGTTACACTCTATTTTATTCGTGTGTTTCATCCTCGTTTTATTGGATGTTGCACATGATGTACAATGTGTTCTATTCAATATTGCAGAGTAGAGTATTGATGTTGCAAGTAATGTTTTTTCATTGTTTTATCTAATTGAAACATTTTTTACCAAGTGGTGAAACATTTCTCATCGAGTAATGAAACATCCGAAACATTTTCTAGTGAAACATTATTCAACGAGTGATGAAACATCTGAAATATTTTTTTTATATGTGGTGAAACACCGTCTGATTTTTTTTGCAAAATATCAAATGTCTGATGTGTAGCGTTCTCCTAATTATATTTTATGGGTTAAGTGATATTTTATTAAGGGTTAATTGGATCTACGCCATTACAACTTTTACGATTTTAAAATATACCATTACTATTTCTCTATTTGAAGCCATACCATTACAACTGTATTGATATTTGATACCCCACATTTTCTAAAATATTTGGACCAAAATACCCCCTTCCTCCTTCTTCCCCTCCTCTCTCCTGTTCATCATCTTCCCCCAATGAATCTGGCAGCTTAGGTATTAGTGGATCGATAATGAGCACGCAGGGGTAGGCGGTGCTAAGGTCAGCTTGTTACTACTCCCCAATCCTTAGTCCTCACACCACTAGCACACTACTTGAGTTGAGCTCAAGCCAACAGCATCCATGGTCATTGTACAGGCTTTGGATCCAGCGGTAGCACAAACCAGCAGAGTAGCTGAAATCGATGTCCTCTTCCCTTCTTCCGGCGGCCGCGACGAAGCAATGTGCCTATGAGGACTGAGTAGCACGACGACCTTGTCAGCAGCGACGACAACACCCAGGACGATGGCGTGCATGAAATCTGATAGCGACGATGGTGGTTGTGGGCTGCCACGCACGATCTTGGCATAGTGCATAACCTCCTGAGTCGTCGCAGTAGCACTGCTCCCGGTTTTGAGCCCTGACACATAGTCACCGAGCCTCCCAACATCGTGCGGCCCAGGCACGCGTAACCACTAGGAGCTCGAGGCCCAACACTGCAAACAAACTTTGCCTTGAGTCTGTGTGTCGTCTCCACCACCAGCTCCGTGTACGCCGTGGCTTGTTTACGCCTCCGCCTCCACGCACCTTGTCCACTGCCCATGCATTTAGAACCAGATCCACAGAGATAGGAGGAAGGGGAGTGGAAAGAGAAGGGATGAAGAGGAGAAGGGGTAATTTGGTAAAAAAAATTTAGAAAATAAGTTCAACGGGTAAGTATTGCATATGTCAAATAATGGTGAAATTGTAATGGTATGACTTGATACAGGTGAATAGTAATGACATATCACAAAATTATAAAAGTTGTAATGGTATGTATCCAGTTAACCCCTTGTATCAATACCCTAAATAATAAGTACTAAAAGATTGGAGTTAGTATACTTCATGCATGTATTTTCCCTTTTTGATTTATCCTATCTGGCTCTTTTGCTAGCTTTCGATTGGTCCACGTGGCATCTCTTACTTTGAAGAAAAATCATAAATTTATAGTAAAGAAAAAACACCTAACAATCATATGTCAGGAAAAATATAGAGAAAAGTATCACATATGGATTCCAGAGGCTTCCAAAACTATCTCCCTTTTTCAATCACAAAAACTTTTACTTCTTTGCCTTCTATAAATATACCACACTCGGTACTACTCCTATAACTCTAGAATATATAGTAAACCCAACATTATTAAGAAAAAAACAAATCTAAAACAACGAATTTACATTCATTTTCCTTCTTTAAATATACTACGCCTACTCGGTACTACTCCTATAACTCTGAATATACTAAATAATTGATCTTTCAAATATTCAAATCATATATTTTAACCAATTAATTTTGATAAATCTTAAAAATAACTTTACTTGTTTGGATTTTATCAAAATTTATGTATAAAATGACACATTAAATTTTTTGGATTTCATCAAAATTTATGTATAAAATGACACATTAAATTTTATACTTTTGGTTGACATGATATAAAGTTCTATATTTTTTATGACACATATGTTTTTCACTTATACATAATAAATAAATCATTTATATATACGTCCATAAATGTTTTTAATATCATATATTCATTTGTTAAAACTAAAAGAGTGGTTCACAATTTTCTTTTTAAAATATTTTATGAAAACTCTAAAAATTCAAATAAGAAAATGAAGTATATACATATTTTAAATATTAGTGAGCACACCAATTTTACCATGTAATATTTTTTAGTGATAATAAGTATATATAGGCTGACTAAGCATGCCGATTTTTTAGTATAACTATATAATTGATCGCACTTAGTATAATTAATACTAATTTGCTATCTTGAGAGTGAGCCACATCATTACTAATAGCAGCATAGCTGTTCGATTTTTATCTATCCGCTTCTTTGCTTCTCATCTGACTGTTCATCCATGTCGATTGATATTTAATCCTAGCCCAGCATAGGGCATAGCCAACTGGCCCAACCCATATGATCGGTTTGCCATCCCTGATGGATGCCATGCGACACCACGTAAAAGTTCACTTCAATATTGCGCACGTGTCCGTCTGCACGTTTATCGATCGATTCGTCCAATCACCTCCCATATCGCCTAAAAACCAACGGTTCCCTCATCATTTCATCGGTGTTCATGCTGCATAGCCTCCTCATGTATATAAATAGTTCCATCCATTCGTCGACTATTGGTAAAATCTGCTATAAGGGTCATGGTCCAATCCTACTAGAATAAAAAAGGTTAAAACATCATTGTGTAATTATTTAATCACTCCGACAAGCACATGTAATTACTTGATCTCTTCTCCCTCCCATTCCTCTCTAAATTCCTGCGGCATCTCCGTGTCAGTTTGTACTTTTGTTTGCTCATATTACCGTTAATGTGGCATCTTCATGTCAGTTTGTACTTTTGTTTTCTCATATTACCGTGCACTGATGGTTTATATTTTTCTCTGGAATATCAGAATCTCCCATTCAATACTCTACACTTAGCTGCAAATGGGTATTAAGATGGACTATGAGGAAAAAACAATCATGTGGATCTGAAGTACGAGTTATCAGTCACCCGCTCATATTTCAGTTCGTTGGGACCTCATGCTGAAAAATATTTTGCATCGTACATTTTTAACCCTCTAAACTGAATGCCAAATTAAATTTATTAGTTTTTTTTGTTAGGTATATGCTTTTGCATCCAATTTTATACTTCAAGAGTAATCCATTTTATTTTGTCCCATATTACGTGTTATATTTAATCTTCTTGACGTTAACCTCGCATAATTTTTTTTCATGCTATGCAATTCCAGCTCAGAATTACAGATACTTGGTTATTTGTTTTCAGTTTTTGGTTCCTATAATTTTTCATATAATTTTTCATGTTATCTTTTTATACTCGAATGAGGAATATTGCTTTATGCATGACAATAGGGGAATGCTCCGAAGGATATAAAAATTCCGCAGCAATACGTGGGGTATCCATCCAGTATTAAATATAATTGGTACATGGATATTCCACTATAAATTCGGTTAACTAGGAGAAGCATACCATGTTAAACTTATATATATATGAGAATCCATGTAATGAAAATATACTTTATCGTAAGAATTGACCTAATAAAAGTGATTTATACGTTGCAAGGGTAATTAGAAAAAAATCATAAGCAATCTTAAATAAATTATCGACGGAAATAGATTTAGAATAGAGTCAGAATATTTAAAGAAAAAATCACCCACATATAAGCTTCCATAATAAAAATTCAAACAATATTAAATAAGATGCTCGCGCATATGCGCGGACTATCTTCCTAGTTTTTTTTAAAAAAAAATAAGCATGGCTATTTGTAAAAAAGAAACGAAGATAAATGTACTTAAATTAAAGACTTAGAATTCATTTCCATGGTAATTTCACACGATAATCACTAACATGTACGTACATATACTCGGTGATGATGAAACACTTATCCAACTCCATTTTTATGCAATTTAACACCTTGCATGCTTTCGGTTCTTGATATCAATCACAATGATTTATGTCTGTTAATTAATCAAGCTGACGGTTTCATCCTCTTGATGAACTCGTCCCTAAGCTGCCTCCTCAGGATCTTCCCGGACACCGACTTGGGGATGGCGTCGACGATGTGCAGCACCCGGACCCGCTTGTACGACGCCACCCTCTCCGCCACGTACGCCACTATCTCCTCCTCCCCCTCCTCCGCACCGTGCCGCCGCACCACGCACGCCACCGGCACCTCGCCGGCCTCCTCGTCCGGCACCCTGCATATCCATGCATGCATGGCTTTAGGACATGGCAAAAGCTCCATCTACAATTCCATCTTTTTAAAATTAAAATCCAACTAAAAAGTTTAAACTCCATACAAAATTAGAATGAAGCTGGCTGAAATGATCTCACAAAATAAACTAGAAATATAAAGCTTGGTTTTGATTGCTCCATAACTTTACTCCAGAATCAACTCTTGAAGTTTCGACGGTCAGAGAAGAAGAAGAAGAAGGGTGTTACCCGAAGACGGCGGCGTCCTCAACGGAGGGGTGGGAGAGGAGGACGGCCTCGAGCTCGGCGGGGGCGACCTGAAACCCCTTGTACTTGATCAGCTCCTTGATCCTGTCCACGATGAACACGTCGCCGTCGCCGTCGATGTACCCAACGTCGCCGGTGTGCAGCCACCCCTTGCCGTCCACCGTGCGCTCCGTCTCCTCCTTCCTCTTGTAGTACCCCTGCATCACGCTCTGGCTCCGCACGCACAGCTCCCCCGGCGTGTTCGCCGGCAGCGACCTCCCGGTGTCCGGGTCCACGAACTTCACCTCCAGGTTCGGCAGGATGAACCCCACCGAGCTCTTCTTGGCGACGTGGCCGTGGCCGTCGCCGGCGGCGTGCGTGAGGGTGATGCAGCTGTGCTCGGTGAGGCCGTAGGCTTCCTCCACCTGCACGCCGGGGAACTTGCGCTGGAACGCGGCGAGGAGGTCGGGGGCGAGCGGCGCGGCGGCGGTCATGACGGACTTGAGGGCGAGGTCGGAGAGGTCGAACTCGTCGGCGACGGGGCTCTTGACCATGGCGAGCATCACGGGGGGAACCAGCGGCGCGAACATGACGCGGTGGTCGACGAGCGCACGGAGGAACGTGCGGAGGTCGAAGCGGTCCATCACCACCACCGTGCCCTTGTGCCGGAGCGTGGCGCAGCAGATGCCGGTGATGCCGTAGATGTGGAAGAACGGCATGAGCCCCAGCGTCACCACCTGCCCGGCCGTCTCCGGCGCCACGGCGAACATGGACGAGCAGAGGTTGGACACCAGGTTGCGGTGGCTCAGCATCACGCCCTTGGACACGCCGGTGGTGCCGGAGGAGTAGGGGAGCGCGCACAGGTCGGACTGCTGCGCCGCGTCCACCGGCACCACCCCGGCGCCGGTGCGGTCCGCCGCGGCGAGGAGCCCGTCCCAGCTGATCGCCCCAGGCATCCGCTCCCTGTCGCCGACGCCGATCACCGGCACGCCGGCGTCCTTCACCTTGTCGAACGCGACCTCGTTGGCAACGACCAGCTTCGCCTCGGAGTCCTCCACCTGCTTCTTGATCTCCGCGGCGAGCGCGCGCGGGTTCACGCCGGAGAACACGGCCCCCGCCGACATGATCCCGAGCGACACGACGGGGTACACGGCGAGGTTTGGGAGCGCGACGACGACGACGTGCCCCTTCCGGACGCCCACCGACCGGAGCGCCCTGGCGAACCGCGCCGTGTCGCGCGCCACCTCGCCGTACGTGTACGACCGCCCGCCCGCCGCGGCCTCCACGAGCGCCACCCTGTCGGCGTAGGCCTCGGCGCCGTCCAGCACGAACTCCGGCACGGTGACGCCGTCCGGCACGGCCACCGGCGGGAACCTGCTCCGGAACACGTGCTCCTGTTCCTCCTCCTCCACCACCATGGCGGGTACCGCGGCGTCGCCCATGTCGCGATGCCGGTCGGCGGCGCAGGCTTCTTGGGTGGTGGTGGGGGTGGCCGGAGCTCTGGCATTTGTAGAGAGCGTGGTGACGAGGGGTGGCGAGAGGAAGGCGACGACATGGTGGTGGTGGTGGTCGTGGCGAGGATGACACGGTTCTTGTGTGTTACCATGACTAGTGGGGTGTAGGTGAGGTTTGGTTGGGTCATGGCCTTTTGGCTTGCAAAGAGTGTGAATCTTCGAATGCTGGTAGAAATGGAGAGGATCGTAGTAGCTGTTGTTAACTATAAACAGTTAATAATAATAATCGATCTTACGATGATTTTCTTGATGCATAATAATAATCGATCTTACGATGATTTTCTTGATGCATTTTGTATATCGTGTAAGTTGTGTTGTGCCTGAATATTAACAGACCGTAGTAGCGGATAAGTGTAGGTGCATACGGTTCACATGTCAGATGTTATAATTTTGGGGATTTGGGGATAAATCGTTGATCCATTGATTTTGCCCTAGAGGGGAATATATTGTATACAAAGATATGGGAAAAGACTAAAATGTCCTTAGCACACTAATACACACACTAACACACATATCCTTGACACCCCAACTGCAATTTGCATTTGATACTTAAATACTAGATTAACAACATAATACGATAAATACAAAGTTCATTTTTTTTTGACAAATTACTGCCAGGCATTTGCCTACCAGTATAGCTTGTATAAAAAGAAATATTTACATCTTACTAGGAAAAACAGAAACCCACAAAATAATTACAAAATTTGTAACTAATCAAAAACTAATTGCTTGAGAGGCTCCTTCATTCTACACATATGTAGAAGAAGCTCTTTCCTGAACTGAACTTTCCATCCATGAAAAGTTGGAGGTACATTATGAAAAATCAAGCCATTTCTTTGCTTCCAAATATACCAGGAGTTGTAAAGAAGATCTCCAGGAAACCTTCGTACCAAAACGAATTCTCACTAGAACAATCATCTGGAAGAAATTTAAATAAGGAGACCAATCAAAACCCAAATACTGTCAACATCGGAGACTAAAAGGGTAGGTAAAGAAGAGATGTAGCCTTATCTCTCTTATACCCCCAGAGCAAAGAACACAGGTGAGATCATCATTTTCCTTAGCATAGTGCCTGCAATCCACCATGTCCCTTGTATTAATTCTGTCTAAAGAGAGGAGCCAAGCAAACACTTTGATTTTCATCACACGCTTTGTCTTCCAGATCCAAACAAGCGGCCTTGGAGGCTGTAAGCATGAATAATTCATTTTTTAAAATCTTTGAGCAGAATACTTATCAACATTCCAAATATAGCTCCAATGATCACCCAACCCCTCACTTAAATGGACATTGTCAAGTTCAGATTGCAAAACTAAAAATTCCCCATAAGCTTCAGCATTCATTGGTAGCATAAAGCATCTTCCAAAGGCTTGGAGCAAGCCATCTTAACAAATTCATCTTTGTTATAAGCTGCCCAAAAAAGATTAGGAAACTTAGTTCCCCATTACACAGATCCCCAAAAGAGCAGTGAGGTTCCTGTTTGCACTGTGCAATGAGCATCCCTCTAAAAACATCTACCAGGGAAACAATATTTTTCCACCAAAAGGAGCCTCTATTTGAAACTAAGTGAAGAGACTTTGAAGTGCAATAAGATTTCCATATGAGATCCACCCAAGGAAGATCAACATTTCTATAGAACTTATCTAAGTGTTTCAATAAAAGAACAACATTCTGGTTTCTTAGATTTATCACCCCTAAACCACCCTTGTCCTTTAGCCTGCACACTAGCTCCCAGGAAGCTAAATATTTTCTGGTGGAATTTGGGTTATTTCCTCTCTACAAACCGTTCTTTCTTGCTGTATCAATGGCTTTGATGACAGTTAAAGACAGTTCAAGAGAACACATATAGTATGTGAGGATTATAGAAAGAACATAGTTGATAAGTGTCAGCCTACCACCCTGGGGTAAAAAGGCTGAGCTTATTGTTAGCCTTCTCTCAACTCTATCCACTAAAGGAGCAAAATGAATTACCTTAGGTATGGTTGTCCCCATAGGTAAACCCAAATAATTGAATGGCATAGATCCAACCTTGCAACCAAGTAGTCCAGCAATTAACTCTACCTTATCTTCAGCTACATTGATGGGATAGAGACTTAATTTGTGATAGTTCACTTTTAGGCCAGTGGACTGACCAAAAGAATTCAGGAGAGCCTTAAAGAAAAAAGCTCAAACCGAGAAGCTTTCAAAAGGATCAAGGTATCATCAGCATACTGTATAATTGGGAAACTGTCACAGCCTGAATTTCGTTTCAGGATTTATAAATTATTTAATAAATTATTAATCGAATTTATATTAACTGTTCATTAATTTACAAGTGAAGTTAAATGTGGGAAATAAAATTTCATTAATTTAAAGCATGGCTGGATTTAATTTTTATTAAATTCTCCATGATTAATTATACTCTCTGAAATTTTCTCGGATTTTTCGGAGCTCAATTCTTAATTTTAATAATACAAAGAACATTTCAGTAATTATCCACATATTAAATTAATCATTAAATGGTCTTATTATAATCTTGTTAAGTACTTTGGGTGTCCAAGTATTTTCATGATTTTTCTTGAAATTATTTGAGCATTGGAAGTATTTTTAACAATTCAAAGATCATTTCAGTGATTAATTTAATTGGGAAAAGTAATTAAAATCCCCTTTTCCTTTTCGGGCCGAAACAGGAAAAGTTCACCTTTAATTCTCGGCCCATTCTTCCTTCTTTTCGGCCTGCAGCCCTCTGCCTCTCTTTCCCGAAGTCCAATTTGCATTCCTCCTTAGGCTGTGTTTTTGAGGCCCAGCAAAAAGTCTAAATATTCTCCCTGCGCTACTGTTCATCTTCCTGAGCAGTCAGAGCCCGAGCCAGCCGTGCTCGTGCACAGTTGCCGCCGCCTCTCCTCCCAAATCCGGCTTTCCCGTTGCTCCTATTTCAAAATTAGTTGCGGGAATGGAATCCTCTCAATCTCCTCTTCCTTTTCCCCAAGAAATCCCCAAAAGTTTCTATGGAAATCCTTTCCAATTTCGCGGTTTAATATTTCCTTACTCCGGCGAGAGCACTAGACTTTCCCGAGTTTTTGCCGTCGATTTGGGCCCGGAACCGAGCTCCCGTGCCTATATAAAGGACCCCCTAGTCGTCCTCTACCCATCCCCTCAAGTCCCGTCCGCTGCCGTCGCCGGAAACGCTCTCCCCGCGAGCTCCTTCTCTCTCTACCTCCGGCCGCCGCTCCAGCAGCCCCGCGCAGTCGCTGTGGTCGTCGCCTTCGGTCGCCGCTGCCGCCGTTGGGTTCGCGAGGAGGAGAAGAAGACCGGCCTCCACTTCCCCGACGCCGAAGACCTCTGGAAGTACCTCGCCGACGTGAATCCAAGCTTCACCGCCGCCGGCCGCTGGTCCATCCGCACCTCGCCGTCGCCTCGGTCTTCTCCGCTCTGTGCCGTCGCTACCTCCGGGAATGTATCGTCAAGGTGAAGCCCGGCCACCGGTTTTCCTCCGCTGAAGATCGCCGAAACGGCGCCGCGTCGCTGACCAGTACCTCGCCGCCCTTCCAAGCTCGTCGCCGGCCATCTTCCGTTGCCGTCCGTCGTCGCGTAAGTGTTGGTAAGGACCGTCGCCTCGCGCTCTTTCTCCCGGTGCCCACCGTTTGCATATTTGTGCCGTGGTTCGCCGGCAACCGCCGCTCCCATGCCGTTCACCGGCGTAGGTTTTTCCCTAGGGCCTTAATTTAATCTAATCTTGTTTGGCCCTAGCGTCGTCGTCATCTCCGTGTGTTGTCGCTGGCGTCGCCGTTGCCTCTTCCTCTTCGGTCTTCCCCGGTGAGGCCTCCTTTCCGTTCCTTAGGTTTAATCTTTGTGTAGCTGCAATCGTGTCTTCGTGTAGTCGCTGTTGTGCAGCCTTAGCCCGTGCGTAGCCGTGTGTGCCTAGCCACCGCAGTCGACCCATGCGCCATCGCTGCCCTAGTTGCATCGCCGCTGCTGTCCAAGCCGCCGCCTTGCGCCGTCGCTTGCTGCCATCACGCCGCTGCTTGCTGCGCTGGCTCTGCCAAGCTGCTGCTATACCGCGTGCCGTGTCACTGCTGCATGCTGCCACGTCGGCCGTGTCGCTTGCTGTTGCCGCTGCTGCTGCGTCGCCTTTGCTGCGTCACCACTGCTGCGCCTGCACGCCGTGCAGCGTTGCCGTCGCTTTGCCACAGCCGCTTGCTACCGCTGCGTCGCCGCCCTAGCGTCGAGCCGGTCATTGCTATGCACCGCACCCGCTGTTGTCCGCTGCTAGCCGCCGCGTAGCCGCTGCCCTAGTGCACGTACTGCAGTCGCCGCGCCGCTGTCGTGCATCGCTATCGGCTGTGCCGTCACCCTAACCCTAGCCGCGTGTCTCCGCCGAGCCGCCGCCACCTAGCCGAGCCAAGTCGCCCTAGTGCCGCCGTGTCGCAGCCGTGTGCCGCTTTAATCTAGCCGCCGTTTTAGCCGTTGCTCGGTAGCCAAGTTGTCTAGCCGTAGGTGCATCCCTAGGTTCCTACCGGCCTATCTTTGCCGTACCGGGGCTTTACCGTGAATCGTGTCTAGCTCACTGGTTTAGTCACAGCCATTGTTGAGTCGTTCGCTCATTCGTTCGAATGAGATGTTCCCCGTGCTTCGTTCGTTCGTCCGTGTTGAGTCGTCCTTTAGTTCAGAGCCGCCGGTTCCGTTCGCCGGTTTCGGTTGATTATTTGGGTGATCCCGTGTCACGTAGAATTGACTCGTTGAGTCGGTATCTCGTGAGGCCCGCTTACCAGATCAATCTAAGCCATCCGATCTTGGTCAACTCTTGGTCGAGATTAATCTCAACCACCCAAAATCAATATAAATCCTTTCCTCTCTTTCCAATGGCATATTGGTTCTTTTTATCATATGTCATCTACCAATATAATCTAATCTTTTCTGTACTTTGCTTTAATCTTTTCTCTCAGTTATAAATCATTTGTAAACGGTTTAATTAATGTGGAATAGTCTTTTTCTTTAATAGGTTTAATTGGAATTAAATCTTGTAAAATTCGTAATTAATTCATATGAAATCGGAATGAGGACGTTCAAGTCTCTAAATTCATCTAAAATCATGATCTACATGTTTGTTTACTCTACATGTGCTGTTTATTTGGTTTTTACTAGTCTTTTTCCTCGTTTTACGTGTTAGCTTGGCGTTTCCGTCGTTTCGAAGGATCGTAAGTGCATCGGAAGTATTCAAGAAGATTAATTGAAGACCTGTTATTGCAAGGCAAGTCACACAGATCCCAAACACAATTCCTTTGAGCATGTTGATCCTATATTTAAATTCTCTATTTATTTCAACTGTGCATTTATTTTTGAATGTCACCGGGTGGTGTGAACCTATTCCTTTGTTATGGCTAGTTTGCATTGATTACCCTATTTCTTGATTACCTTGGTGACGGAGCGTGGGGCTCCTCACCGGGAGACCGCGCAGGCCCCCCTTTGCCGGTTCGGCCGGGGGCTCAGGGTGAGGTTCTAAGCTCCTAGTCTGTGGAAGGTTCGCGACAATGGAAAAAGCACAAGACACGGGCGATGTATACAGGTTCGGGCCGCTGAGAAGCGTAATACCCTACTCCTGTGTTCTGGTGGATCTGTGTCTGAAGAAGCTACAAAGAGCTGGAGAGCCAGAGAGCTCTTACTCTAGAAACCCTCTTCTCCCTTTTTTCCTCTCGTGGGATCTTCTCCTCAGATCCTCCCCCCTTTCCTAGTGGGCAAGGTCCTCCTTTTATATCTCAAGGGGATACCACATGCACCACCTCTACCTATCTCTCTTTTTGGTGGGGACTTTATCCTATCTTTACTCAAACTTGGCTTGCCTTCTCTAGAAAGCTAAAAACACTGCTTGTTTTTGAGTGTGGCCACGCGTCCTCACTCGTCTGACCTCGGGGATCACCCTGTCATCTCTTCATAAATGGGCGGAGACTTGCAATGGCTGCTGTCCGAATGACCTTCTGATGGGATGACCCATACCTACCTCCACTCCGCCGGAAGCAGGTGCAACGTGGGAACATGGTTGTCTGCCGACGACATGACCAGTGTCAGACCGGTCACAAATCGGTCATTCTTGTCCACCACGTGTCAGTCTAGCAATCTGCATGTTCGCCCTTCTTCATACAATATCTTGCTTGTAATGGTTGGGATGAAGCCTGGCATATATCTGACCGGGACCAACGTGCCATCTCCAGGAGCTAACACGCCGGCTTCGGCTAGGGACGAGTGCTCGGAGGCTCTCATCCTGACGGGATGGGGCGAGGCGTGCGTCAGACCGCCTGTCGCCACCTAACCCACGATCTGATCGGTCTGTGACCAGTCACAGACCGGATAAACGAGCGCGCTGCACTGCGCTACATGCGGCGTGACGCGCTCGTCCAAACCGCAATAAATGTGGTTAGGTGAGCCCTGTTGTGCTCACCTAACCCATACACGCCGCGCAAAACCCACAAGGGGTCGGGGCGCCTCAGCCCTCGGGGCGGAAACGAGAGCGGCCCGACTCCTCGGGGAGACAAAGAGGGGGGCGGCCACATCACCCTCGGGCCCGACCCCCCCGAGGGGGTCAGGCCACGTGGGTGATTGCTCCTGCCCCAAGCCTCTAGTCATGATACTCCCGGTCCCATGTCACCGACACTTGGGTTATAATTTGACTGGTTGGATTTATATATTGGTTCAACTAGATGTATTAGATATAATTGCTTAGCCATGCTTAGAAACATTAGCACACTATTGGGATAACTAATGTTTCACTACTACTTAATGATGGACATGATAATGGCTAATCGTGATTAGTTAATTAATTAATGTGCCAACTAAAACATGATAATGGTGGGTTGTGAGCACATGGTTTTGATGGTCGTGCTCATGACAATTAAGTACTGGTTCACGAGTTTCGGTTGTGAAACATTAACCGTGCCAACCACAAGCCAGAATGAGCAACGGCTGGACACTTTGTATAGCAAGGCTCATTGTGGAGCACCAGACTGAGAAGTGGCGGAGATAAGCCCACGGGGGTCGCTAGGGAGTCCATGCCTCTGGTTTTGAGGGGGTGACTACGATCCAGGAACGGTGCACTGCTTTGGGTTGAGTTATGCAAGGGGTCTTGTCACAACTACACAAATGGTGACATGTTCAGCATGGGCACATGATGATATGGTGACATATTGTGGAGTTGTGTCTTGTGGGTACAGTGGTACATCTCTGACCAGATAAAACTATTCGAATAGCCGTGCCCGCGGTTATGGGCGGGTCTAACAATGTCTTTCATGATTAGTCTCACACTTCTCACCATAATAAATGATGCTATAACTGGAAATAATTTGATTAGCTCCTGGTTTGGAATGGTACATTCCTGGTTTGGAGATAGATCTGTACAGCCGGGTATGGTTGTTCAGGATGGTTGAGCTTGTGCAGCATGGATGTGCTGTTCAGTGATTGATTAATATTGATGATTAATTACTCTACTGTTTTACTACTTTTAAATGTTTGCTATGTGCTGCTTTTGCAAATGAGCCCTATATTATGCCATCCTTTGGTATCCTTGTGCACTTGCATATTTGCTGTGTGGCTTGCTGAGTATGTCATATGCTCACCTTGCAATAATCAATCAAACCTCAGTTGAAGACAAGTTGCGAAGGAGAAGACGTTTGGCTTATACCCCAGTTGAGCTGCCTGTGGGAGTGGAGCCGGAGCTTCGCTAGACCGTAATTCCGCTGAAGTTTTCTTTTCTTTTGAATGTATGTAACGTTATTATATTGATGAATCTGTATATTAAATTGTCAGTTTGTGTACCTCGGCTGATTCCTGGACGAGGATTTAATGCACAAATTAGTTCGGAAATTATTAGTGAATTTCTGGGCGTGACAAGTTGGTATCAGAGCCATCTCGACTGTAGGATAAGCCAAATGGTCAAACACGGGCAGTGGGGAATGCTATGGGGAACGTGGACGACAAGACGGATGTGGGCGACGGCGGCCGCCGTGGAGGACGAGGATGGCGGCTGCAGCGGATGCGAGTGAGGACGACGAGATGAACGCGGGTGACAGCGACAGCCGTGGAGGAAGAGGACGACTAGCGCTTATTCCTTCTCATCGCCCATCGCTACGGGCCCTACAACCTCGAGCCGGGTGACTGATTAGTCGCCCTCTTGTTCTCTCTCCTCCCCTCTCTCATCCAGCTCAGTAAAAAAAATCCTACGTGGATCTCTTACCACCTACTCTCTCCATTCCAAAATATAAGGCACAGCCACCCTCGACTCAAAGACCAAGAAATAATTATTATCATCTTGTAGTTTGGATCATCCTAATAAATATGCAAGCATCCAATAGGATTAGATAACATGAGAGTAGAGAATTTAAAAAATTAATAATTTAATGAAGAAGATGTCATAGTTAATTGCATGCTTGCATGCATGCCTTATATTATGGAATATTTAAGAAAAGTGGTTGTGCCTTATATTATAGAATGGAGGGAGTATTATTGTATATGCTTTAATGCGATGGAGGGAGTAATAATGATTGAGTAGTTGTTTTGTAGTTGTAGCATATTTATTGCTACTTGTGTGATCCATGTGCATGGGAGCCACGTGTCATGCAACTGCAAAGTGGCGCTCCTACTGCTCCTAGTGTGCACGCCACATGGCAACACCAGTCCACCCAAGCTAGGAGTACGTGCCACACTGGCATACACTAATGAACTGTCACACGCGTCCGTCCTCGATCCACCTCAGATGATGTCTCTATGACACGCCGGGCCCACAGGCGTTACACGCGGAAAAAGGCCGAGCGACGCGCTCGAGAGCCCAAAGAAAGGCAACCGAAAAAATTTCCAGCTCCCCGTAATAACCGCCCTCAAAGCCCCTCTCCCCACACGGCTACCCTCTACCCACTGACAGGTGGGCCCAAGTGGGAGCAGGGGTTACGTGGGCCCACATGTCATTGGGTCTGAGTACATGCCGGTTAGGAAAGCTCTCGTGGGCATTTTGCCGAGGCTATATATAAGGTGATCCCTCGGCGAGATAAGGAAATATTTCGCAGATAGTAGAAGAGAAAAATAGGGTTGGATTTTACAGATTGATCCCCGGAATTTCTCGATTTCGCGCAGGAATCCTCGGGCGGTGAAAACCGAGGCGGCGGCGGCTGCGGCGGTGGAGCGGCCGCGGCCGTTGGCGATGGCGGCCGCCGGCGGCGGCGGCAGAGGGGGGCGCCCCGTCGAGGAGGATTTCATCGAGCTGAGTAGCAGCGACTCCGATTCCGACGGGGAGGGCGGCGGGGGCGGCAGCGCGAAGAGGTCGCGGGGTGTGGGGGCGGGTGGATCGGCGGGGAAGCGCGCTAGGGTTTCCGCGGCGGGCGTGGCCGTGGATCTGCCCCCGGGTTTCCTTGATCCTCTACCACATGCGGCGTCGGCGGCGGCGGGGGCGGAGGCATCGGCGGGGCCGTCGAAGAGCGCGACGAAGCAGTTCTGGAAGGCCGGGGACTACGACGGGAAGCCGCTTGGGGATGGAGCGCCGCAGTCGTCAGGTAACCTTATTTTTTTTTTCTGGTCGCGTAACCCTTCTGTAATCCTGTTCTTGTTGTCATATCATAAATATCGTTTTAATATCTCTATGCTCGTTGTCATTTGATGGAGTTGAGATGTTTTGGTTCTTTCCTTAGACGATTCATGCCATGCGGCATTTAAGGTTTTGCAGCACTGAAAATGTGACTAGTAGCATTCAATGGGGGGAGTTTCTGGAGATAGAGTAAAATAGTTAATACTTCACCTGTGAACTGCAGAGCTTGAGGATTGGAACATTGATATGAACAAACAAGAAAGGTTATATGTTAGGAATGGGTGCCACTTGGACTTGGGTGCTTGTTAGGGCATGTACAATGGTCTTTATTAGTGGTCTCTCTCTATTGCAATGCAAGTAAATTTGATGACATGGAAGAAAGAGAAAGGAGGAAAGAGAAATATGGTTGTTATGCATGACAACTTCTCAGAGTCGACTCTTAGCATTTATTAGAGCAGATTTTAGCATTTATTAGAGCAGATTTTGTTGAATGGTGGTGAAAGAAAGGAAAGAATAGTAAGAAAAAATATTTCGATACATTAATGATTAGAGACCATATTGTCTCCAACTATTGTAGGATGCTAGTCTCTAGATAGCGTAGAGCTCATACCTGACTCTATCTTTGTACATATCTTTGTACATGCCCTTAGTTGTTTTAGTCCCTTCTTTCTATTTATTTTATGTTTTAGACCTGATTACACTTTTTAGGAAAATAGCTGCCAATGTAAGTAGGGTTGTGCCTTTGTACAATGTTGAATAGGAATGAAACTAAATGAAGTGGTAGAGATTTAGGAAGATGTATTTCCGTCTCTTCCATTGGAAGTTCTCTTTTTCACTCATACAACGAATTTGTCAACAGACATGTTCTTTATGGAAGTCTGTATGTGTGTAATATTTCTTTCTTAATCGGTCTGGATTAGATACACAAGTATCTGTGATTTTCTTTCTGTATTCTAATTTCACATTCACTTTCTCTTTTCAGTATCCGGATTGGATCATGTTCGTGTACATCCTAAATTTTTGCACTCAAATGCAACAAGCCACAAGTGGGCTCTGGGGGGTATGGTCTTCATCTTCATTTTACCTTTGCACTACCATTTCTTCCCATGAATGCTATAGCAGACACAACAACGGTGCCATGTTATTTGCTCACACAACTCAATCAATGTTTGGTCACACCAGTTGGCTAACATATTTTTATCCACGTTACAGCATTGGCTGAGCTGCTGGATAACTCTCTTGATGAAGTAAGTATTGTGAAATATTAAGTGCACTAGTTTGTAGCATTGAATCCTTGTATGTTTACTGAGCTCTGTTTTCTCCGAAGGTCATAAATGGAGCTACCTATGTGAACATTGATATGTTGGAGAATAATAAAGACAAAACAAGAATGCTCCTTGTTGAAGGTGCACAACCTTTTTACCTTTTACCTTTAATTGTTGGCAAAAATCTTTGGTAAAATTCATTTTTTATAGTGACTTGAATTGGTACCTCTATTTCTGTTTATATTATCAAAAGTTTCTTTGATGACAAGAAACTTCTGTGTCCATAGCAAATTAACAACATAAAACATGCCCCTTTCTATCTGTTATAGCAAACTAAGTGAAGTAGTGAACATATATTTCACTCTGGAACCTGATAGGTTTCGACTTGACTTATAGTATTAACATGATGTGGTACATGGAATATTCAAGATCTTTTAAGCTTGTCCCTGTTTTATGTTATACGCAATTAATTGATGTACAGATTCAATTTGGCATAAAGAAAATTTAGGAGTTTAGGGATGCACAAAGCAAAATGGAAGATTGGTTTAAGGTTGGACAACCTCAGAAATATTATAGGTCTTTTACTGAGGCCTCTGGAGTGGTTAACACATTTAAGTGCTATCAGATAGTGCAGCATGTTTATGAAACTATGATGGAACTTTTAGATCTTACCTTATAAATGGAACCACAGTGGTAGAATTTCTCAAATACTTATAATTCTTTTTCTTGTTATATTGTTTTATATAGATGATGGTGGTGGAATGGACCCAGACAAAATGCGGCAGTGCATGTCATTGGGTTATTCAGCCAAGAGCAAAGTTGCAAGTACTATTGGGCAATGTAAGCTTCGAAAAACAAATTTTATATATTTTGGTTGCTTCACTAAATTTATGTTTTCCGTAGAGCAAAATAAACTAGCAGTCTTTAAATTTGTAAGTATAAGCATGAGTCGTCTAGGTCGACAAACTTGCAAAATGCAGATTCCGTTCACTAGACTTATAAAAGTGTGCCATACTGCCGGATCTCTCCGGGAACTGACGTGGCGGCTGACTTCTACACGGTTTTGGCTGCCACATCTCTCATCTCTCTCCTTCTCATCAGTCATCTCTTTTATCCACTCTCTTTCTCACACATACACACATCCTCTCCTCTCTCTCCATTTCTCATCAGTTATCTCTTTATCCACTCTCCCTCTCTCTCTCTCACATACACACATCCTCTCTTTCTCCATGGCAGCAGAGCATGACAGGTTGGGCTCACAATTTTTTAAACATAATTTTGCATAGTCTGCCACACCAGTGCTCAAGTGGGTTCGACTGTTTTGCACCCTATATGACACTTCAAGTTCAAGGGCTTAAATTTACATTTTGCAAATTCGTGGACCTAGATGACACCTGCCTACAAGTTTAATGCAAGCTTGTATATTTTACTCTTTTTAGTATGCTGGCCAAACTTGTGATGCCTTCAACTTAATTTGTTCTATTACAGATGGAAATGGTTTCAAGACAAGTACAATGAGACTTGGTGCTGATGTTTTAGTTTTCTCCCGTAGTGGTGGAAAAGGTGGCAAAAGGTTAAGTTACACTTCATCTTGACAAACATTTAAAAAAAATCATTTTAGAAGATGCTGCTAACATGATATGTTTACAATTCCCTAACAACCAAAATTTCTTTGGACAGATGAGCTACCAGAAAGCCTGTGTAGTTCATCAAACTTGAAAGCACCAAATGATATTTGTTCAATTTAGTTAGCAGGTCAAATTAATTTCCCTGGTGTAATGCATGGTCAAGAATTTGATTTAAATCTATATTGCATGACCATTGTGTTCTGAAAAGCAAATCCTTTTACACTGTAGGGAATGTATAATCATGAACTCTCTGCGTTTCCAGATAAATCCTTTTTAGTTAGTGTATAGTTTATATTTTTCTCCCATATGACCAACACTTAGATATTAAGTTAACCAGATTTGCTATATGGAAATGACACCATTAGTTCAATCATCAAAAGTGCTATTATGCATTATACTGAATTTATAGTTTTATCAACACAATGTGATAAGAATTGATAATTGGTGATCAAAATTTTAGTAAAATACTTTAGTTTCTTAACAGTTGAAACTTGTTCCTTTACCATTGCACAACTACATGTGGCATTTCTTTCATTATTTGTTGTGTAGTTTTGTAGTACGTGCATACAATTTTAGTTATTTTCCTTTATCAAGAAATTGAGACCTTTACTTTTCCTTTATCAAGAAATTGAGACATTTACTTTTGTTTGGCATGAAGGCTTACCCAAAGTGTTGGCATGCTATCCTACACCTTTCTGAGGAGCACCAACAAAGAGGATATTGTTGTTCCAATGGTAGGATTCCTTCTTTGGTGCTTTTCATTAGTTTCAAATTTTTAATTTTCTCTAGACCTTTTTTTGCCCTCATATAAATTTTTTTACCACCCACCTGAAGCATCCATCCTCATTTTTTTTGAATATTTATGGGAGGATACTAAAGATATTTCCTGTCATACCTTTCTCAATTTTGTCAACTCATATCATTATGCAAGTTAAAATAAACACTATAGTACTGAATGGAGGGGATACTCTTGGAAAAATATTTATCTGGAAATTAGTTATGTCGTGTGTAATGTCTTTACCTTCTGAATTTTCCTATGTTTATGTGACAAATTCAGATTGATTATGAAAATCAACAAGGTTGGAAAAGAAAGCCACGGACTACATTTGCTGATTGGAACACAAGCTTACAGACTATTATTACATGGTCGCCATATTCAACTGAAGCAGAACTACTTGAGCAGGTATAATTTATGCAAGATCACTAAACAAATATGTATTTCTACTGTAATTATCAACATGATTATTGGTTCAGTTGCTTGAAGTTTCTTTGTCATGACCTTTCCTTTCAAAAGAAAAGGGCATCTGTGCATACTCGACAATGGAAGATGTTTCCTGGAGCTGTCTATATTTTAGTTTCCCATTTTTAGAAACAAAAACATATTATTGCGAACCTCAGCACGTTCCAAATGGCTGTTTATTTTGCAGTTTAGTTCTATAAAGGAACAAGGGACTCGTATTATCATTTACAATCTTTGGGAGGACGATGAAGGACATTTGGAGCTTGATTTTGATGAGGACATACACGTATGTTCTACTACTAAGTATTAATAACACTGTGCCACCATGCGCACCATATATTTTAGTTAAGCAGCTAGTAAGGTTTTTAATGATTGTGGAATGACAGGATATTCAACTCAGAGGTGGCAATCGTGATGAGAAAAATATCCTGATGGCTAAGCAGTTTCCGAACTCCAAGCATTTCCTGACTTATAGGCATTCATTAAGGGTAACTTTATAGTACCTTTTGAATTGAATATGCTTGATGTGTTCTGATGGTGCTGAATTTTGTTAGTATTAGGCTATTAGCATGCAATGTTGCCTCCATTTGTGATTTATGTGGATTTCATTTATGCAGAGCACATTATTCTATTTGTGCCATGCGATAATTGTTTGCTGGCCCAGTCAGTCATGCCAGTTCAAAATGACTTGAGTATCCTTTCTGTGCAGAGCTATGCATCCATTTTATATCTCCGAGTTCCAAGTTTTTTCCAAATGATTTTACGTGGAAAAGAGATTGAGCACCATAATATTGTGACTGACATGATGTTGAAGAAAGAGGTGAAATACAAGCCGGTTGCACCTAATGGTGTTCCAAAGGATTCAAATGTTAAGACCTGTAACCTCATAACTCTTTCCTGAATACTGAGGATGTATTGATAGCTCATTACTGATCAAAATTTTCTTCTGTATCTCAGATGGTAGCCGATGTAACAATTGGCTTTGTTAAAGATGCAAAACATCATGTTGATGTTCAGGGATTTAATGTATACCACAAGAACAGGCTAATAAAGGTATTATTATTGTCATTTTTTTTTCTGTTGTAATAGTGTTTTTTTTGGGTGTTTTGCCTTGTGACCATTTATTCAAGTTTCTTTGCTTTCTCCAACCAGCTCTTATAATAATTACTCCAGATTTGTCACTTAAACTACCAGTTGGTGACTTAGTGGTGTTAGCCAAACTTGCATTTGTGATTTCCCCCCCCCTCCCCTAGGTGGCAGCTAGTATTCAGGTGCCACCCTCCCACCTATGCAGACCCTCCGAATTAGATGATTAGGCAGTAGGCACTAGCCACCAGGTTGAGCCTATCACTTTCGTAACCTCTTGCCCCTTGGTGAATACTGACATATGATGCTTGGTTAGCTACCACTTTTTTTGTTAAATGTCTAGGTTATTAGCATATTACTTTCTTTGTGCTGTTAATGTTTCATTTCAGATAGTACGATTGACTGATTGACTTTTATTAATGGTCAATATTGACCTTTTTGAATGCTTAGTATTCTGCTTCTGACCAATGCTTCTTCGAATTGCATATACAAGTATCCAGATTGTGTTTATGTATTATTTGTTGAAATATGTGAACTTTGTTTCTTTTAGCCTTTCTGGAGAGTGTGGACTGCCGCTGGAAGTGGTGGGCGTGGTGTCATAGGTAAGTGACTATGTGGTTTGGTTTCTTCTATTCTATTTATTCATCCACTTTTGGTTCTAGGAATGACTGACTTACTCTGCACAGGTGTACTGGAAGCTAATTTTATAGAGCCAGCTCATGATAAGCAGGACTTTGAGAGAACAACTCTTCTAGCAAGACTTGAAGCACGATTAATTCAAATGCAGAAAGACTATTGGTCTGTTTTCTTGTCATTTTTCTTGGTTTACTTTTGTGGTCACATGTCACATTATCAATTCTATTGTAGGCCACATTTTGGCTTATCTATTAGTTAGAGATTTGATTCTAGTTTTCACATGCCCCCGTCTCTACTTCTCACAGGTCAGGAAATGCTCATCGAATTGGATATTCTGGGACACGTGCTGGCAGATCCAATGAAACAGAAGGTAAATGAGCCATATGATTGTTCGACATTGCTATGGCTTTATAGTATAGATATGCAACTTAGTTTCTTTAATATTTTGATATTTTGTTATTACTTACCTTGAGTAACAAAAGTTAATAGAGTATCAAAGTTAACATCTTAAAAAGTTTGTAATGTTGCTTCATTTGTTGGGTAATTGGGTTTTCAAAGTGCTGCGTTCCTTTTTTGACTCTCTCAAGTTCTGTCAGGTAGTTTGTCACATTATGTCAATTGGACATACCAAAATGGATAATAGTATGCAGAGGATGTTGGATCGAAATGATTTCACTATGAGTGTCCAATCCATTTGTGCAAATTAGATACGTTTCCCATTGAATCTCTTTTTCTTATGCTCAAACAAAGCATTCTGTTTCTTTACTAACAGAAATGATGAAAATATACAAAAATAAGCATGACACATTGTGTGCAGTGCCTGTCAGTGGAACTTAGATGACACAGTATCCTTGGTGTACCCCCTGATAACATTTCACTTACTAAATAGAAAAAAATGATATCGGAAAAACTCGATGGGGAACATGATAACTTTAGAGTTTATACATGCGGTTGATTAGATAATTGACAATAGTTTTTAGTAGAGTCATCTGTGTAAAGACAAGGAATAATAGCCCTATTTCACCTTATCATTCTTCTTGTGCTGGTAATAAGGAGGCCATATATTGGCAAACATATATGATTTCTGAATGGTGTTCATAGATATGAAACATCATCATAAATGCAATTTCATTGTGCACTCCATCCTGAGCACCTGTGTTTTTAACAAGTATTCTATAGATATGAATTGGTGTGCACATCCCTCTGCTAAGGCTTGCTTATCCCCGTTACGAATATGTGATGATCGAACTTATTTATTTGCCTTCGATCACTAATATTAAAAAATGTTGTGTAATTTTGGCATTAGGTAATGGTAGCATTAGTGTATGAAAATGTCATAATGCAACATTTTTTATAATTTTTTAACTCTTATGCCAAAAGGATGATCAAAGTTACATCTTCTGACACTGTCAATGTTCAACTGTCATATTATTGACTGAAGGGTATGAAACTTTTAATGGGCATGAAAATTTGTTGTTCTTTCACTTCAATTGTAATTATTTTTAGAGATAAGTAGCTATTATTTTACAAATATGGCCTTCTTTGGACAGAGGACGCCCCTGAAGTTACCCAAAGTGCACAGCAATCACCTTACTCTACTGGAAAAAATTATGGAAAATCAAATAAAAAGCAATCGCCTTACTCTACTGGGAAAGATAATGGAAAATCAAATACTAAATCTGGGAAGGCAAGCACGTCATTTCATACTCAGCGAAGAACTGATAAGTCTGCAACGACTAAACAACCTGGAAGATCAATAATGTATGGGCTTTCAGATACCAGTGATGAAAGTGATTCTGAGTTTGTGGGCGCCCCAACTCCAACAAGTTCAAGATCTCATATCCTGAATCCACATAGAAAATCTTTCCAGAATGGGACTGCTTTGGCAACACCTCCATCCAATGGACGGACAGAAAGAGAGAGAAACAAAACTGCATCCCAGCCTGTGGTAATTTTGTTCTCCCTCTGACCTTTTCTTTGTACTGTGAAACTTTTATTTTATTGTGCTTATATTTAGGTACACACTTATTTGCAGATGATAATTAGGCCATGTTTTGCTGGAGTGAACATTGTACCTAGTCTACAGCAGAAACTCATTAATCTAATATTACAGCTGATTTGAGGATTTTTCTTGTAGTAATTAGGAAAAAAGCTTCTTAATCTGTTTATACCTAGTTATCCTATGGTATTTGCTTTTGGGATTACTAGAGGATTTGCTTTTATAATTACTTGCTCATTTAGGTAAGTTTGGGGTTTAAATGTGGATATATTGAAGAATGGAAGTGTTAGCTGATAATCTTGGAGGAGCAATAATTCCAACATGGATCGCTCTCATTGTTGACTCTGAAATTAGTGTGTTGAGCTAATCGCTCTGCTGTAGAACTGTAAAGGCTGGTACAAAAACATGGGGCAAGCACTATCTTTCCTCCAAAAGAATAGTGTTTAGTAGATTAATTCCAATTCGAAATACAATCTGCAGAGTACTTTTGAAAATTACAGTGTTTAGCTCTTTTATTTATATAAAGTAATGCACCTTTAACATGATTTATATATATATAATCTGTTGGTTATCATCAGTGTATGATAGATGACTCCATATTTTATATATGGTTGTTATTCAAGTACATAGTCTCAGGATTTATCTCTGATGTTTGCTCTGCAGCAACTTAATGCAACAAGTAATGGGGATTATACTATTGATGATCATGAGACTATTATCAAGCAACTGAGGGGCGAAAACTCATCGTTGAAGGAAAGGTAATATATAGCAGGATTCAGCTTCTACTTTTCATGTCAGTATTTGAATGAAATAACAGTGATAACTAAGGATTACCACTATTGCCTACTGTAATGGTCTTTCTTTTCAGTTCAGATTGTTTTCATCTCTTATACGCATATTTAGGCCCCACTTATTTTTCATATTTTCAGTCACAATTTATAATAATGAAAACTATAATTAATCTAGAGAATCAAGAACTCGAGATATGCATATTGAGGAGGATGGGCTAAGTATATGGGTTAACATGTATACGTACTAATATTTTTCAAACAAAAAAAAATGGAGGTGCAACTGGACTTACCCCATGGTCCTGTTTTTTCTCTACCCCTTTTAATGAGATGCAATTCTTCATGATCCAAACGTAATAAATTCAGGTAACCTGTTTGTATGTGCCCTATTCCAAATGGGTGGGTTGTAGGCATTATGTATTGTGCTAGTTTTTCTGAAGAAATCTGTCAAGTACCAATTGTAGCCCTAACTCAGTCTAAAACCAGTAAACTATACAGAATGTAGTCAAAACTATGTATATGCTATTATATATACTACATTATGCATGATTTAAGACCATCCAGGTACAGCCATCCTGAGCAGTTGAATATGATTTGCCGTTCTCGTTTTTCTTTGTGAAACTTGCAGTAACATTTTTTCCCACAGTTTACTAAGGTATGAAGTTTTATCACGAGAATGTTATAAAATGCCTTTGCTCCTTTGTGCTGCTTCTTTGTCAGGTTACTGAAGGTGGAAGAATCATTGTCACAGGAGCTGGCGATTGAACGTGATAAGAACAAATCGTTAACAGAGAGGGTATGCACCTATATATAAGTCCTTCCCCCTGTAGATTGTTGATATCTAAACTGTAATTCTTTGGGCCTGAAATATATTATGTTGGTGCCATTTTGGTTCTTAAATTTTGAGTGACAAACTATTTGAACAATGTGATATATTAGTAAAAACAATAGCAATGACAAAATATGATGCTTTGAAGTCTAAATTCGCAATTTGTTCCATGGAATAGCAAACTAAGTGTTTATCTCAGTACTTGTTGAGTGCTTCACATTTCCTCATGCAGGTCAGAATTCACAGGAATTATCTTGACATGTGATCTCGTTTGCTTGAAAGTAGATTCAAATGCTGTTTTGTTATTTTCTTTCTTATCAAGCTTTCACAATTTCATGCTTCCACATTTTTACAGGCGTTTGGAAACTGTTGTGTTGCAATTTGGTGTTCTTAATTTTGTCGGTTTAAGGGTACTTAGCATCGTTTCTGCCTGTAGTTTTTTTTAGTACTTGATGGACAATGATATTTTCCATCTTTTCACCACAAGAATACGCTGCAATCTTCATGTAATGTATATTGCTGATCCCTTACACAACCTTTTTGTTTTCCAGTTAGAGGATGCACAGAGGCAACTAGAAACTTCAAACAAGGAACAAGAAGCATTGATTGACATCTTCTCAGAAGAAAGAGGTCGACGAGACCTAGAAGAGGAAAATCTGCGAGGGAAGCTAAAGGTGAGTGCGAGAGACCGAGCAAGTATATCTTTGTACTAAATCGCAGTATCACTGCTACTTCACTTTGATAAGCAATTCGACTCTTTGCCAGGATGCTTCTTCTACCATACAAGATTTGCTGGAGCAATTAAACGCTGCCCGAAAAGGTCGCAAGTTTTGAGAAAAAATAGCTATTTTGCTACCAAAAATTCACTAACCGGAAGACCTCTAGTTTTCAGTTACACTGACGTGAAGGATTCCAGCCATTCTAGCTTGTGTAGGGAGAGGCTGTAGGCTATTCCCCTATGTTTAGTGTTGATAGGTAGTTCCATCATCTCACTTCCAGATCACTTCCAGCATTGTGTACAGGCAAGGAATGCCAATAAAGGCTACTGTTAGTGATCGGTATGTGAGTTTGTAGGTAAAAACACTCGCTAGGCCTTTTAATACTTAATTAGTCATTTCGTTCGTTGTGTTCAATGTTACACGTGGTTGTGTCAAATCAGTCTCGATTTTTTGTGCCTGGGCTTTTCATCCTCTTTATCTCGAGTCTGACAGTGAAACAGTGTTAATCAACGGCCGTATGGGAGGTAAAAGGCATGGCTTGAGCCTTGAGGTAACGGACTCCAGCTCACTACTCAACTGGTGTGAACACAGCTATGTGCCATTTGATAGGGTAGTAGATTGTCATTTTATTTTCTTTTGGAAGTGAAGCATAAGTTTGCCATTTGGGAGGTGCCTTGTAGCTTCTTTTAAGTAAAGCTAGACAAGCTATCCCAGTAAGGACCTCAATCACATTGCTTATTGTAGTGTCAAGAAAGTTCGTTGCAGATTAGTGTCTAGATAACGGATTGTGTGTCTGTAGTATATTAGTGTCTGGATTGCGGATAGCCGACGCTAAGTTTCAATAGTGGAATTAAGAAAAATAACCATAAAATTAGGTTGTGTATCAATATTAATATCAAGTTTCACTTAAAATTAAAATTTAGAATGCATGCTTAATTTCTCTGGCATTTCATAACATAAAAATTATGAAATAACATATAAATATATAAGATAAAGAAGATACACAATGCTAAATTATTCTATCCATATGTTGAAAGAACATCGCTTACACATTGTAGCGATGCGATAAAGTCAACAACGGTCGTGAAGCACTGTAACAGGCTCCTATAGCGTCGTGAAGCTATAGCAGTCGCTAAGTTCCAATACGCTAAATGTAGTCCGCTATCTTGTAGCGGTATCGGTATAGCGGCCGCTATTGCGGTCACTACAAACGTGCTAAATATAGTCCGCTATCTTGTAGCGGTATCGGTATAGCGGCCGCTATTGCGGTCACTACAAACGTCGAGAACCAATCTTCTAGGGCTCCTTAAGAACATAGTTTTTTTTTTCTTTTAATATGAATGCACATGCAAAAGCAGAAAGTCGAAACACAGGGTAGGAAAGATTCAAACGAAATTTCACATGAAAACTTGCTTCTTCACAGGATTATCAACAATCCAAATCCAAAGCTCCAAATAACCAAAAGAGAAAATTTTATGTAGGATCTTCCAAAACAAATCTTAGTGAGGTTTTCTTTGCCGATGACAAATTGATTGAGAGCTAACTACCGAGGATATATGGAAAGATGGTCGGCGAGATCAATCACCAACGCTTGGTTTGTCCTCTTCACGGGTGGCGTTGCAAAGAAGATATATTTCCCTATATATAGCGTCTTGCAGAGCGAAGTAATATGGCTGATTGTACGTAGTGGAGTGGAGTAGCCGCAACAGCTTCCTAATCGTGCACGCGCGCACGAAGCACGGGTTGCCGGCCTGCCTATAACGATCATACATGAGTGTGTATCCCCCAGGTGAGAGCCTCCAGGACTCCAGGTGTGGATGAAGGTCTCTAATGATGACTAATCAGTTCGATATATAGATGTATCAACTGGATGTATATATGGATGATTGGTCGCACGGAAAGCAGACCGTTTTGCTTCGTCGTCATGACACGGTTGGCTAGCTACTTTTTTTTTAAGATGGATATTTTTTTACTCGGCCTTTACATCCAACCGGATATATACAATCTTTTTAAATTAGGAACTTAGCCTGTCAAACAGGGAACTTAGCCCTCGAATAACCCAATCTGAAATTTGCTCCTATAAAAATTAAAACTCAGGACTTTGATTTGTTACTTAGGTCACTGCAACCACTAGGCTATATGCCCTTTCACGTTGGCTAGCTACTTGGCTTGGCATGGCTGGTGGCAGGGGTGAAAACGGTACGGAAACGGACGGAAACAACTTTTATCGTTTTCGTTTTCATATTTTTTTCGGAATCGGAAACCCCGGAAACGAAAACGGAAACGAATATTATCGAAACCGAAAACGGAGCGAAAACGAACCGGCGCGGATACGGTAACGAAAATTTATTGGAATACAAAAACCCCTCAAACTGAGCTTCAAACTTTTGTCAAGTCCAATTCTCAACTCTAGTCAACAATTCATAATAAAACATAATTACATGAAATCGTCTCAACAGCAAAATATATTCCTCTATAACTTCATATAATTTACATAACAAGTATTCTAAAAAAAGTACAGCAAAAAACCATGGTACAAGGTATACAATATACACTATTATTCAGTGCTATACTGCTAATCTGTTATGAGCTATCACTCCATCATCAGTACATAGTTCATCAATCATCATTCATCAGTCATCACAGAACACAGCAACACACATCAGTCCATCAGTACAGTACTTAGTTCAATCACAAAACTACTTGCATTTGATGATTCGATCCATCGTAAATCTGCAGCACAAAAGAAATCAAATCGGTTTAGGCTCGTCGGCTCGTCGCTAGGCTGCTGGCTGCTGCCGCTGGGCTGCTGGCTGCTGCGACTGCTGAGGCGAGGCGTCGTCGGCTCGTCGGTGTGGCTGTAGCGTCGTCGTCAGTGGTGGTAGCGGCGGCGAGACAGCGGGATGACGCCGCGGCTGCGAGACGGGGCCGCGAAACGGCGGGACAGCGCCGCAAGATAGCGGCGGTACGAGACGGCGAAGACGGTGGGGGCGAGGTCGCGAGGAGCAGAGGACGGCAGAGAAGCGGTGGCGCGGGCGCCGGGCGGTGGGCGCTGGCGGTGCGCGGAGCGCGATGCTCCGCCGCTGGCTCGCGGTCTCGCGAAGTCGTGTGCCTGTCTCTCTCCTCTCTAGGGTTAGCCACTATTTGTGTTGGGCTGGAAATTTAGGGATGAGTTATAGACTATTGATTCTATGGGCCTTTTTAACTTTGGAAATTCCGACCGATTCCGAGTTCCGATGGAAACTGCTATTATCATATTCAATTCCGTTTCCGAGAAAATATTTCCGTTTTCGATTCCGTTTCCGAGAAATTCCGAAAAAATTCCGACTGGCTGATTCCGTTTCCGAAAACAGGCCCGGAATCCAGAAAGTTTCCGTACCGTTTTCACCCCTAGCTGGTGGTGGCGCGTATGGCCCTCCTCCCCCTCACACACACACACTAACGACACAACCGCTGGTAGAGATATACTCCATCCATTAAAAAAAACCAAGCTATGCATGGATGAAACATAATGCATGACAGCGATTCTGAATATGAACATGTCTAGATTCATTTTCCTAGGTTATGTCTTATCCATACATAGGTTAGCTTTTTTGGGACGGAAGAAGTAGAGTGTTGTGGAAACCATCGGATAAAAGCAATCTGAATTGCAGATAGGAATTGAACACAAATAATAAGTTCAGGGTTCCGTAATGAGCAAACCGGCGATCTAACTGATCACGGGATTATACGGCAAAGTAGCAAAGCTAAACTTTAATCTAAACAAAACCCAAGAAACTCTGAAGGGGTACCTAACTATTTATAATGGTGTGAGAACGACCAAGTGGATTCTAGGGTCGTGCTCCACCTGGTTGGGGCGCACCCCACATGGGCCCCACTTGGGCCAGGGTCCCAAACGAAGTTACAAGCCCAAAGGCCCATGACAGGTAACACAGCACCTTGTTTTTGTGTTTGCGGCCAAACGATATGGAGTTTGGTGATGAGGCTGGATCCGTTAGAAAGAGGACTCTGAGAGCTTTCCATCAAGTACTCATGGGCTGAAAACGGAGGTCGTATGCAGATTCGGTAGCCGTTTGAAGTCAGCAGGGTAGCAGGTAGCCGAATCGGATTGCAGAACTTGGACGGCTTGATCTTGATGTGAACGACGGTTGTATCTATAGTAGCCATGGTCACATCATATACTTATGTGTTTGAGATAGATTAAGATGAGGAGCTTAAGATTAAGAAATTCGCTAGTGAAAATCAATTTTCACAGCCAACACTTTTGACTCAACCGCCAGCCAAGAGATATTTTTAGCCAAAAAAGAAAATAAAATCCATTTTCATGACAAAAACACATCAACTTTTCAATAAAAACATATTTAAATCACTCCAGTGACATTCAAACACCAATAGATTAGCATCAATAGATTATATATGGACAAACAAAAACACAAACCACTAAAGAAACCTAGATAGGTGCCGGTTGTGAACCCTATAGGTGCCGGTTGTGAACCTTGTCGACGTTTGATGTCGCGATTCCGGTATTTGCATAGTATGGAGATCGTTGGTACTAGGATATATGCGAGATTGAGGTAAAAGAGATGGGGACGAGGATTTTTTATACAGGTTCGGGTCCCTAAATTGTCAGGTAATAACCCTACTCCTGTTGGTCGAAGCCGGTCGTTGCTCTTATTGACCATAATCACACCAGTACAATATTTGGGGTAGCCTATCTATCTGTTATCGACATAGCGGACTGAAGTATCATCGCGTAGTCGACAACAGAGTACTCTTTCTCCTTGAATCCGTGCTTGGCGAGATCAAAGACATCGCTAGATTCCTCTCTTTGGTTCCCGTAGGTACCATATGAGGTTTTCCTTGGCTTATCTCTGATGTCGATATCTAGCAGCTTGTCTTGTCGTATGTAGGCTTGTGGCTTTGTGGCGTCTATGTTGTCCTTGTCCCCTCTCCTCCTAGGGGGCCTTGTATTTATACCCATAGGTGTCCCCTTGTCCAAGTAGAACTAGGGAAACAAATATGGATACAATCCGAGTAGTCCTTGTCGTTTCCATGTAGAACTCTGGTTGTCTTTCCTTATCCGGAACTCCATCTATATCCGAGGTCAATTTCCTTATAAGACATGGTATGTGGTGGGTCCTGCCGAGATTTAGTCAACTACTATTAGGTATGTGGTCCATAACCCTGACAAACCCGGAATAGGTGCCGGATTTCCCATCCGACACTTAGAAGGCGGCAGAGATGAGAGAAATCAAAGGTGCCGGTTTGGAACCGGCACTTTTGTGGTCCCAAGAATCCAAAAATAAAAATGGCTTGATGCATAGCTTCCAATCACCCAAGAACACAATCGTACAATCATGAATAAAAGAAACATCCACAAAAATCATGAACAAAATCGCTGCCACCACCGGATGGAGGAGTCGATGCTGCCGCTGAGGAGAATGGAGCCACCACTGAAGAGAGAGG